CTCATAATAGGGGACTTTCCTGTATCGACAGTTGGTTGCGTTCCTGAATGAAACGTTACGCGATTAATTAACGACGATCTGCGGCCCAGCAGCGGTTAAGACGCTACCGCGGTACGCATATATATTCCGTCAATTGCGATCGTTCATTTCGCAAGACCAAAATACGGCCGTGTCTGAAATGCAGATAAGAAGCGAAACTTTTATTTGCTCGCGGCGCCCTTAATTCCCCGCCGCGCGCTCGTTAATTTGCACAGCTTACGTCTCGGAAGCGATTAATTATCCTCGCAACAAACACGCGGCACCTCCCGCCGTGTCGGCCCGATCTCCGACACCTGTGCGCAACGTTCGCGCCGCGTAACCCGGTATTGTCCCAAGTGCGCGCCAAGCGGCGCAGGTGGCCGGACGGCGCGTCGCGGCCGCGTGCGTCCGCGCAAATACCGTACGCGTAACCGGGGAACAGCGGATGACGCGCGAATAAATCCGTGCAGATCGATCGGCGGTGTTAACGACCGTGGCGTCGCGTGAGACGCGCGTCGGAATTGTCGTAAGAAACGGCCGACTTACCTCGCTGGCGCGCGCGCACGAAAGTCAACAACTGACCGCGCGAAATGAACAATCGTCCCCGCAATTCGCTCTTTATATTATTACACGCCCGGGCCTCCGCGCGACTCCCCGCGACAGCGCGTGTCCGATTTATGCAAATTTATGCGCGAGACACGTCGCGCTGCGCACACGACTAAAAGCAATGCGTACAGATAACACGAATAATTGCAGCTAACGGACAATTAACGCGCAGGTGACGATGTTTGCTCAGCGCCGCTTCTAAAAGGAGGGCGTTTGTCGCTCCGCTGCCTAAACTCGAGCGAGACGAGAGGGACGCGTCAATGGTTTTGACGCACGCACGTACGCACGCCGATCGGGCTCGTAAGTCTCGTAACGTGTTTAATTAACGCCCGCGCCGATGGAGAACGGGGGTCCCTCGGCGCGTATCTTATCTCGGACGCGGCCGTGAATTTTTCGGCGGCGCGTGTTCAACGGGGACACGCAGATGCAAGGCGCGCCTATACAGATCTAATTGCCGGGAGGGGATAAATTTAGAGAGGGCAAGGGAAGGGCGGAAAAAGTGAGATCGCGCGATCGCGGGGCAGAGGGGGAGGAGGGGGTAAACGCGAACCGCGCGAGAGGCACCTGTGTACTCGCGATAACGAGCCGACGTTATCGCGAGAGCTTTCTGTGACCACGCGATCCGCAGATGTCCGCGATAACAACGTCGCGGGGTTTCAGGGCGGACCCCGAGGCATGAATGAAACGCTCGCTGCTTATCCGATCCGCGAATGACCGGGGACTCTCGGCGTCCGGCGTCTAGAGTCCAGAGTCCGGCCAGCAGGCCAGTTTCGGCGAAATGACGCGAGTGAGAAGGAAGTGTAAGGATCGTCTACAATAGACGAAGTAAGCCCTGGCGTGAGAAGTGAGAGTAGGAGTAAAGAAATGAATCATTTCCATTTCCTACTCCTACGTCAGCTCTGACGCTCTTACTCTCGGCGAATTGGAGCGCAGTTCGACCAGTGCTGTAAATATGTTTTTAACTTTCACACTGATAAGTAAAGGTTAGGGTTTTCTTACTTTCTTTTACTGCTTACTTCCAGTGTAGACGGTCCTTATTCTCCCTCACTCTACGTACGGCATACGCGCCATGTCGCTTTGCCGAAACTGCCTGTTGGCCAGACTCTGACTCGAGAGATTCTACCGGCGACCTCGGCGTCGCGACGCGCGCCACGGCGCTTGATACGCAAAACGTTCCGGAGGCTGCGGGTCCCGTTATCCCGAAACCGAATCACCGGTCACCGGAAGCCGCGACAATACCGCGTTTCAACGCGCCCGTATTTAAATTGTAAAAGTCATTCATGATCGCCAAGGAGGGACATTGTGTCCGCGTCGCGCTTTGTACCGTCGATCTAGATCTCGCGCGAATCGCACAAACAAGCGAGATGGCGGACGGAAGGCGGAGGAAACGCGGGTAAAGTTCTCAGGGGTGACGTCCGGGGCGGACGTGGAGGTGCGCGATTTATTATTCGGACGAGAGGAGCCGCGAAATGGAAACATAATAACTCGAGGTGCCGCGTGTACTTCCAATATCCGCGAATGTGTTATGCAACAAGCGAACACCCCGCGGTATAAATATTTTCTTTTTATGTAATAATCCAGTTGAGCGCATCGGTGGCAGACGCGCGGCGAGAAAGCAGAAAAAAACAGGTGGAGCGAGCGCGCGTGCGTGCGTTTTCAATTCCGCGACCACCTCGACGAATCCCTGATTAAATATTACGAGGGCGGTTCAAATATGATCGAGACAAACGCTGTAGATGGCGCGCCTGTATGTTTTGAAGGTCGCGGCTTGAGTATGTGATAGCTGGGTCCCTTACGAACAGTGTGGCATAGTTTTCGTCGCGAAGAATTTCCGTGTTTTTAACGCCTTCCCACACCAAAAAACGAATGACAATACGTTGCGCAACGGCGGTCGGCACTTGACGTTCACTCATGGTCGTATCACGCGCGTGAAACGTGCGTTCGCGAC